TGCGCTTTTGCAACAAAATGGTGTACTGTTAACTCCTATTTATGATGAATATTCATCCGATTTAAGAATTCCCTACCAACTTACTTGCTACATCTTACGCTGTTTTTTATTAAAAAAAACAGAACAATGTTATAATAATTTTGGAAGACGCCTTCCAGCCATTTAGAAGTAGAAATTAATTGCATTCTCTCTCTCTCTCTCTCATCATTTCTATATTTCTTATGGTTTAACATACTTTACGTTTGTTAAGATCCAAACCAAAGTAACATTCCCACACAAGTGTAGAAGCTACTTAATATTACTAAAGGAAAGCTCCCCAAAATCTTTTAGCCGAGGCCAGGAAAATCCACGTAGCTTTTTCTCAATGTAATTTTCACGATAAAAGAGATTCGTATGCGACATTCAAATAAGCATTTCTGTTACGAACCTAATTTTGTGTAACTTTTAGGATATAAAAGCTGGTTGAATAATATACAGGGTGACTGGAACTGAATCCGCCATAGCTAATACGCGTATAGAGGAGGTCATTTGCTAATTATTGAACCTTACTTTCTATGGCTAAAGTTTTATAGTTTAGGAGATATGTCAATTTTTATACTTTTTTTCAGATTTTTCTGAAATTAGACCTAAAAACTGCTCCCATTTTTTTTCTCGCGTGATTTCAACAGTTTTTTTTATTTGATATTAATATCGAATATGTCTTTATTCAAATAAAATAAATTTCTGATCCAGATAATGATTGAATAGCTAGTTACAAGCCGTTAAAGTCTAACAAAAGTACAAACCACGATAAAAAAATCTACTTCGAATTCGATTGAAACAAAAATTAATGGTGATAATGGATTGCCAATAATCTTAAAAATATCTCTAACTTCTCTTCTTTCCAATGATATATCACACGTTGTAATTAGATATTGAAATTTGTCAAAAATTGAAGTTTATGGAAGAAAATGGAGTAATAATACAAAAATTATCCATACAAAGTTGATTTTGAATTTTTTTATACTCTTTTCTTCATAATGTGATTATTATTTTTAAATTCATTTTTCAAAAAACACACAAAAATAGTTATGAAAAGGAGTATAGCAGAAAATATGAGATGTTTGAAGAAACTTTGTATGGATAATTTTCGTATTATTACTCCATTTTCTTCCATAAACTTTGATTTTTTAATAAATTTCAATATCTAATTACTACGTGTGATATATCATTAGAAAGAAGAGAAGCTAGAGATATTTTTAAGATCATTGGCAATCCATTATCACCATTAGTTTTTATTTAAATCGAATTCAAACTTGATTTTTTTATCGTGGTTTGTACTTTTGTTGAACTTTGGCGGCTCGTAACTAGTTACTGAATCATTATCTAGATCTGAAATTTATTTTATTTGACTAAAGGTATATTCGATATTAGTATCAAATAAAAAAATCGGTTAAAATCATGCGAGAAAAAAAAATAAGCAGTTTTTAGGTCAAATTTCGGAAAAATCTGAAAAAAGTATAAAAATTGACATATCTTCTAAACTATAAAACTTTAGCTATAGAAAGTAAGGTTCAATAATTAGCAAATGACCTCCTCTATACGCGTATTAGCTATGGCGGGTTCAGTTCCAGTCACCCTGTATAATAAGCTGACGAATATTATAAAAGCAAAAGGAACACGGGCGTTACAGGTGCGTTGCCGGCCTTTAAAGTGAAGATACGCTCTCTTGTTATACCTACAATGACCTACATGTTTGAAATTAGTTTATATTTTAGGTATCGATAGTGTTATTTTAAGTAACGTACTAGTTAGCTAGCTGATTAGTCTAAAATGTTAAGTAGCTGCTGCTTACATTAAGCGGAGATGCCCTTTCTTACAAATTAACAATATCCTCTTCCTCCGGACAGCGTGGCCACCCATCCTGTTGTTGATTCTACTTCCGCGCGTGGCGGATCCATTCAGAGATTAGGATATGAGACTTAATTTGATTTGTTTGCTATTACCTAGATCCTATAAAATAAACTGAAATAAAACTTTACTTAGGTACATATTATTGTTATTGCACTATCGCTCCTACTTATTAAAACAATAAATGTTTCAATGATCCTTGATGTGTCGTTGTTAGCCCTTAAATAGTTTATTTTAATAATTATCTTCGTTAAAAACGAACTTTATTACTTGTGACTTTTTTATAATACAAAAATGCTGTGTACATGTAAAATGTACAGAGGCCACCCAGCATTGGTGGGCGGTTGGCCCAACACGTGAACATTATCTCACCAAAATTGGATGTAATGACCAACAATTATGCCCAAATCAGATTTATACAACGGTATATTGATTCCCTGTATGTAAAATCCAGAAATGACTTAATATATCTGGTATTAAAGCAAAAATAAGTCATACAATGCTCCAAAAGATTGGGTTGACTTTCAGAAGCATTCCAAACCACAACGATTCCAGGAGTGTAATGAATGAGTAAGTAGTTCTTATGAAAGTATCGAGTGCATTCCACTTGGGACCACGAGTCAGACCGATTAGCGGATTAAAATTAAATAAAGAAACATCAGTTCACATTTGTCAGAACATTTTACAGTAAGTAGGTACTTAACAGAAAATGTAGAGCTACCTACCTCATAGCAATTTTAGTATGTTCATTATTCAATTGAGGGGATTCAAAGTACTTACTTAATTTAGACGGGTCATATTATTAGTCGTAATTTGGTCATTAGCCTTCAGTTAAGATATTTATGTCTCTAGCCAGGTACTAACATAACTACGAGTAAGGGGGCGTCCATTAATTACGTGAGACAATTTTGGCAATTTTTCAAAACCCCCAACCCCCAGATTTGGTGAGATTTTTCCGGACCCCCTCCCCCTCCCCACAATCTCACGTGAGATTTCTTAAAATACATATTTGCAATATAAATAAATAGGTTATCTAAGCTGCGATTAAGATTTAATATAAAAAACCGTTTCTTTTAATTTCTTTATTAAATAACTTTAAATGGTTTAGAATAAAAAAAAAATATCATTATCATCTTAAAATATGTTTATTTGACCCTCTTTCTTGCTGAAAAAAATTACGTGATATTTGTCGAGACCCCCCCTCTCCCCTACGTGAGATTTAGTGAGGTTTTTCTTGACCCCCTCCCCCCCTAAACGTCTCACGTAATTAATGGACGTCCCCTAACATAAAAAAGGGAAGTACATATATTAATGGCATGGTACCGCGCAAGAGACTTTATAATGGTTCCTTAGTTCAAAATAAGGTCCAATCCCAAAATACGGTGAGGTCGGTAAGGAAAAACTCGAATCAACACAACGTATAGTCACACTGGCATGTAAGTATGGTAAATTAGCAAAAAATAATGGTGAGACACCGCGGCGCAGACGCACGCGGTTTCTTTCAATATGACCGCATCGCCCCGTATCATCCTGTACGGTCGGTCATGTACGAAGAAATAGCAAAGACATATAAAATAATATGTAAAAGGTAATGCATCCAAAATTTATATTGACTAACATAGGAACGACAAAAACATAATTATTAATGCGCGCATGTAAGGCAAAATTAAACTTAGTATTTTTACTATATTCTGCAATGCTACTTTTACTTTTTGATAAAAAGACAGTAGGTCTTGGGGCATGTGAAAATCATGAATTTTATGTTTTATAAACCATCACCTAGGCTCAACATGTCCATAAATTAAATGGCGCTCTATCATTGACGATAATAAAGCAAAACCCGGCCATTTTAATTTAATAACTTATATCGATTAATAACTTTATCATCACTTTATTATCTCCTGATTTCGTATGCACAGAAACAGCTAATTAACAATCTCTGTGATAAATTAGTAGAGGAATGTGAATCACATAATCATATCCAATGATTCATACATGAATGTATGGCGCATCGGAATCAATGGAGGCCTGTATTATGGGTATTTTGATACAAAGCGCTTCATGTGGCCAGTGCAAGGCTGCTGACCTCACGTTCCTGCTCCCGACCCGGCAAAAAATGACGTCTAAGTACCTATATCATGCGATTTAATGAACACATACTCGTACGTACGTACGTACGAGATTAACACCCGTATCACAAACATTATTATGAGGTCTCACAGTACGGGTGGACGCACAGGGTGACACATGAACCAATCACTTTAAGCCACCAGCTCGCACTAAGCGTTTCGATGACTCTTTTATAATGCGAACAGCTAGGGACTGGAGGAACTCGCTGCCTGCTGCTGCTGTGTTTCCTGAACGCTATAATCCGGGCCTTTTCAAGGCGTGAGTGAATAGGCACTTACAGGGCAGATATGTACCATCCTAGACTGCATCTTACTTAACACCAGGTACGATTGCGGTCAAATACCTGCCTTGTCCTGCATAAAAAAAAACATCATTTGAGAATACGGGCGAAAGAGGGTTTTTCAGGAAAACTTTAAGGCTGGGTTGCACAGTACACCATCTTACTTACTTAAACGTCAAAAATTATGTAGGTATCTTACGTATACTTAAGTTATCGTTATAGTTACGGTTAAAGTTAGGTGGTGCAACACAGCCTAAGAATTCAGTATGGTTGCAATTTATAATGTGACATGCATTGATTGACGTCATGTAATGATACAGAAAATACTTCAACTTCCTGAAATTTAGACGCAAAAGTTTCATTTTGAAACGTTTCTGTTAAATGCAGCTTGTGCTCCACTATCGTCATAACAGTCAACTTTTAAAGGTAACGGAAGAACAATACAAACATTTCAAGACCAAAAATCGTACAGCTGTGGCCAAAAGGTGACTTCAATCAGGACTTCAAATGTAGAGTCCTTTGATGTGGCACCAGCATTATGTTTATTGGTTTATGTGTATTGAAATAAGCTTCCAACAAAGTGTCGGTGAGAATAGGTTACGTTCTATGTAACGTTCATGTTTGGACTTTTAATCTAAAGCAAAGGAAAAATCTTAGTATCAAATTGTGGTAGAGCAATAAAAACAATTGTAATATTTTAACTATTATTTATTTAGGTGGAATTCTTTAGTAGGTATTATTTATAAATCATAACATAGCACTTAAAACTAAACATTTACATCTTTGTCTTTATTTTTGTTATTTATGTACACAATAGTCTCTCTCGGTTTTAACAGTACGAAGTATACAAGAAAGCACATATAACTTAACAACATGCTAGCTAGTATCACTTTGACAATAAAATCCTTCCACCAATCGTGGATGCCTCTGTCTAAGCTTGCCCAAACACCTGTGAACACTACAGTCTCTATGGTGCACACTATGATCCAGAACACATGCCACACTCTTACGTGGCGAAAACGGATTTTAAACTCCATCAAACAAAACAAGTAAACAAAAGCTAGGAAAATATAAAACCCTCGTCTCACAGTGCTAGCTTGAGGCACTATTAACAGCAGTAACATCACCTGGTAATGTGAGAACAAGATCATCACTGATGCTATTATTGAAGATTTAATGAACACAGCTATAGAGAGCAAACGAGATACGAAGAAAGCGTACCAGCCTAGATAGTGCACTAGTGCAGCCGTGGCATCTTGAGGCTCAAGGCCTCGCATTCTGCTTCTGGGGACTCGACGAGGAATATCTGGTTCCTCTTGAATGACTTCGTCGTTGTATTTTCTTCGATGTGGAGCCGACAACCATGTTGGTAGAGACTCAGCGTTTTCTACCATTTTCTCCGCCCATACGGCTAAAGAGCCAGGCCTTGGTGCTGGTATAATCGGCGGTGGGATTATTTCGACTTTCTCTATCGTATATTGCGACTGAGTGTACGTTGGTCGCCGAGGTGCCACTCTATCTATAATTGATATTGGCCGAACGTATTCATCATCACTATTCGACTGGGGTGATGACGGTGAAATTGGAGGAAGATAATCTGAACTCACATCAGAGTCATAGTAAATATCATCGTAATATATTTCCTGTTGTGTGCTTCTAGGAGAGAATTGTATCAAATCACTGTTAGCTTTTGTTCTTTCATCGCCAGACGGAATGGAAAAATTAAATTCCAATGACTGTTTCTGAATGGTTTCGTATATAGGATCAGGATCTTTGTTGTTATCTTCAATGATAGGGGTCTTTTCATCATTTACGTCTTTGGTAATTAAAGCCTTAGAATTTTTGTTCCATGGATATTTACGACCGTTTAATTTTTCTCTTTCAAATCTCCTGTACATCGTGGCAGTGGAAGACATTCGCATACAAGAAACTATTACGCTCACCGCCTGCATTGCAACTGTAAAAGATACATTAAAGTGTCAAGAAAAGGATTTCAAATTGAATGATGAGCATGGATGATGAGTAAGAGATTTCTATACCATATCGAAAGGTGATGGCATAACTTTACCAAATCCCAGTCATTTGCACTCTGCGATCAAATTGGCATTAATTGGTAATTATCAAAATTAATAATACAAACCTTTACTGTACTCAGCATTGGAGAACCGTACAATCATATCGAGAAGGTTGACGATCGCATGAGGGGCAGCATGCAGGAATGCCTGCAGGAACAAATACAGCTCAATCGGGGAGGAGGACCTGGCTCTGAGTATTGCCTCCATCGTCCGTTCTTTGTCGTCCACGTACGCCGCGCATACTGCTTCCATCCACCAGAAGATTAAGTAGCAGTACCTGATAAAACAATTATTCATTCAGCTCTACATAATTATATTTTATTTCTTTCAGCTAAATATCTATCCCATCAAAAACAATACTTGTCAAAAAAACCAAGTCTCGCAACTCAGTTGTTCTACGGTAAAAAGTTGTGAGATCCATGTAATACCAAGTCCAGGCCAGGAAATCTTTAACGTTTTACATAAATATATTGACTTGGCCATCGCATGAAAACACGTGTAAATTAAATTATTTAGTGCGATGGCCAAGTCAATAATTTATGTAAAACGTTAAAGATTTCCTGGCCTGGACTTGGTATTACATGGATCTCACAACTTTTTACCGTAGAACAACTGAGTTGCGAGACTTGGTTTTTTTGACAAGTATTGTTTTTGATGGGATCTCATTTCTTTTTGTATTTTGTAGACAGCAGTTATGTATCTAGAAAACTGGACCGAAATTGAAAAATTTTACTCGACTTGGCGGTTGCACTACCGTGCCCCCAAATATTTTAGTTTTTCCTTGATTCGTACACCAAACACTACTTATATTCCAAATTTGAAGCTTCTAGGTCTGCTAGAAGTGCCTTAGAATTTTGATGATCGGTGAGTCAGTCAGTCAGTCAGTGAGTGACAAAATTAAGAAACTTTGACCCGTTATAATTTTTAAACTACTGGTTCAAATTGAATGAAATTTGAAATATACCGTGTCTTTACAATGCCTGCATGGATACTGAAAATTCAGTCTTCTAGTTTTATCCACAACGATGATACAGGGGGTCGAAAATGGCCTGAATTGCTTCGAGAAAAGGATGGTACGGCCGTGCCGCTTTTTTGCTCGACTTGGTGGGGGCACTGCCGTGCCCCCAGATTTATCAATACGAGAAAGATCCTTTCGAAATCATATAATATCGGTAGGTGGTACTTATAAGGTTTATACTCGGTGGGTAATTGACTGGTTATTGCTAAAAGCTATTTATGAGGTAGCATGTAAAAAAAAACAATTTTTAACCCTTATATTGGTTATAATCTTCACAACGAGAAGAACGATATCCAGCGTTGTGTGTAGGTACTTATTGCTATCAGAATCTGGTGTTTACTGTATAACATGCAAGCGACAGCAGGTGATTTTAATATTTCGTAAACATAATTATGTTCGCGATCAGTGATGGTCCACGTGTAGGTAAATGTTTTGATTTTAAAAATCTTAAAAGTGTAACAAACTTGATCTACCTATGTACCAACGAAAGGCCACCATTCCAGCCACAGGACCTCCACCATTGAACAATTGTATTCAGCGCCTTCCTGCTACCTTTATGTGCTACGCTCCGGCTCCGCTTGCTGGTACATAGCCTCCACTCCAGAACCTTGCTGTCCCACACAAAGCGCAAGTACCTACTACTTACTGTCAATAAAAATAACTTTTTAAATTGACGCACCTGCCTATCGCAGTCACAGGAAAAAAAAAGCAGTTGGCCAACTGCCTGGCGATCCACTTCAGGTCTTTCTTAGAGATCGTGACCGAGAAAGCTGCACCCTCCTCAGTCTGCAACCCTGGCGGCGCGGACGCCAGGCTGAACACCAACGAGATGAGCGCTGGGCAGGTGATGAGGATGAGACAAAACGATCCGATTCTGTTGATAAATAACAATTGATCCTAATCAAAAGTAGTCGTTCCTCAAAATCCTTTGTTGTTTAAACGACGCGCGCGCGGCCTTGTAAAAATCGTTAAAACACGAGCGCCTGATAAATATTTACTATTTTTTCCCAATGCGGTTGTTGAGATTTTATTATGAATGAGATAGGAATTAATAGAATTAATAGCTCATATTATACAGCCAAGATATTGTTATTGTACCTACCATTAATTAGCAAGACCTTATTTAGGTAGGTAAGTATTTACATTGCATCAGCAAAGACAGCGCAAAGTATCATCACATTTTCCAAATACAAATTGATGAGAGTAGAGGTATATCGACTCGTGCATATCGATTTTCTACTTATTAGATTACTTTTATGATTTTATAATTTACCGCAATAAAACTTACACCTTATTGCCATTTTGAAAATGTTCGAAAACGAGCGCGAAGTCGAAACACATCAACGTTAAGTACACGAGAAGTCCCCCACAGGATGGCAGCACACGATGCAGCAGCAGGGTCTGCCATGCCGGAAGCTTCCATCCCAACACCTCCCCCGATACCTCTTGGTCCAACTCGCATACTACCATAGCTTCTTAGTCACACAAACAGTCATTGTCACAACAAATCGATAACGTTGCTTCACATCACTAAATTTCAGCACTTTCCACAGTTTCACTTATTTTTGAGAAAATTATCTTCGTTTGTTTCAGAAAAACGCAAAATATGAAACATGTATGGATTTTTTGTTCTCCACACCCATTGATAGTGAAACTGATAAGATTGTTGAGTAAATAGATAACGCGATGACACAGTTTTTGTGAAGGTAAGTAATCCTCAATTCTCCGGATTCCGGTTCAATTAAATTACCTACTTAATATGTATAACGGGGATTGTTTTTCTATTGTGATACATTTTATTAATGAAAACCACATACTTACTTATTAAAATAGTTTGTAGTTAGTTGTGAGGAAATCAGAGACCGAGGCTTAGATCGGTTACATACTTGCTTACCTAGGGCTAAAACTTGATGAGCAATTAACATCAATGAACATATTCCTGTATTTATGAGAAGTTATTAGAAAAATGTATGTTGCCAATAGGGCGCGACTTTTCTGAATACTTTGCATTAGGAAAGTCGCGCCTTTAAAAAAATGACCTAAATATCATTTTTTTTAATTTGTAAACATTAGTCCCATTAAACCCTCGTAGTACGCTAATTATGATTGTGTTATGTTTTTTCACCACAATAGTCAACCGGACGCCGCTTGACGCAGTATTCGAACCTGCGTACCTCGGATCCCGATTCGGCTAGTCTTATACCGACACCATTGGGCTATAGAGGCTACTGGCAATAATTTGAACAGAAATTCAGACATTATATAATAAATATAAAATTACTCTGTAAATGTTCTTGCTGTAATATTACTGTGCCGTTTCAATAACCCAACATTAGTCAAAACATATAAAAAGTACTTCGTGGTCAAAACAAAAAACTTGTTTTTTTTTTTTTGTTTCGTTCTCTTGCAGGAAAAGGCAAAGGCATTCGCCATACAGCCAAGTCTTCAGTTTGTATTCACGGAGACGGCGCGAGAGAGAGGAAACATTTTCATTTTGAAGCCGACTGAGTAATTTCCCTTCAATATTATTTTTTTCCCTTCAACTTCGGCTTTGAATTTCTTCAAATTTCTTCTTTAGTGGTAACTGTTTTTAGACTACAACAATGTGTTTCGGACCGGTATACAATGTTTGACATTGACATTTAGTCGACAATATTTTTTGACAGTGGAATATAGTGCAATGCAGTGAACTACAACCGGACAACCGGATATAATATCGCACCCTTAATAATATAGGGGCACAACTCAAAATTTTTGGTTTTTTACTTTTTGTACTAGAGAGGCATATTTTCGTCAGTTCTACAAGATGGCTTTCACAGAAATCGAAAACAATGATCAGATTAAAGAGTTCTACATTTTGTGCCCCTTCCATGCTTTCATCTATCTTCCCGCTAGAAGGGCTGAATCAGAGACATGCCGATATTTGTCGAATCCGGCCCCCGCGACTGTGGTCCAATTTTGAGTTGTGCCTTTGTTTGACAAACTTTTAAGTAAGTGTTAGTGAGCTAAGTCTAATTAATTCCATATATTTCTAATAATATGTTACATTTTCATTTTTATTACATTGATAAAGTCCTGTTAATCATAGAAAATTATAAAATATAACTTTAACTTTAGTTAGGCGGACCATGGATGGGTGTTTGTAGTTAAATTTATAACTCTCCTATAAAAGTAATTTGCTTCTTGGTATTAATTTTCATACCTATTGGTTGATTTGGTACCATTTGAAAGAGCTCGTGAAGCACTTTCAGAATCAGTAACTAGTTTTTCGACATCTTGTATAGTTTAGAAATAATCGAGTGAGATCACTTATCGTTCCATATGTATAACCACCCTGTATAATCCGGCTGTAACTCCAGGTCACCTAGATACATTCCATAGCAGCTGTAATAGACACTTAGGTACATACATTTACCAATTTTGGTGATAAATAGGCATTTTGTATTAGTTTTTGTATAACGCCTGAACAAAAACAAAGGGTAATATTTTGGTGTTATACATAGATTTCGAATATAAAAAATATATAATTTAACTAATTAAGACATGACAAAAAAACTGAGGTATGTCTCGTTTTTGTCGGGCCTGGGTCACAAATGACCGTTCTTCTTTTATTCTGAAAATCGCTTTTTGCCATCTTGAAATATTTTAACTTGTTGTGTCGAACCTGTTATAATATTGAATACCTCTTGTTTATACGAAAAAGGAATAATCCTTGTATTATGGGCGCGCGTTAATTTTCATGAAAAAAAATATTATTACCAAAACAAGAACAATGTTCATTCGGACTCGGGTATGAGTATTCTTTGGGTTACAGTCATTTCATGACACTGATTCGAAATAGTGAACTGACTTTTTAAAAGAACCGGTTCCACAATTGTAGGTACAACACTATTTCAAAAAGTGAGGTTATTTTGAATGTCAGTTCAGTCAGTGTAAAAGTTGCAACTTATTTTTAATGATTAATTAATAGATTTGATATAAATACAATCATGCTAAGAACTACTGTCTTGCGAGCTTGTGCTCGCCAGATAATAAACACGAGAACTGTACAGAATTCAGTGGATAGTGCCGCAATCCGTAGGCAAATACATTGCAGTGTTTGTTCACAAAGTCCTCGGCAAATACCAAAGTCAAACAATGTCCCTACTCCTGCAATGGCTAGTAAATATGAAATTATAAATGAAGATAATTCATCAGTGATCCAGAATACTGCCGAGGAAATACAGTCAGATAATCCTTACCCAATACTCAGTGATGAATTTGATGGAATTAATTTGAAAAGTATGTTGTAATCGTGATTGCTTTTATTTAAGTGGTGTAGTTAATTATTAAATTTAATTCGATCTTATACTTTTACAGGGGGTGTATCAGGAGTCTTTGAAATTGAAGATTTAGTAGAATTGTTGCAGAGAGAAAATTCAAAGGACATATTTGTAGCAAATGTACCACCGGAAATAAACTATGTTGAGTACATTTGTATAGTCAGTGGTCAAAGTAAACGACATGTTTTGGCACTTGCAGAGTTTGTAAGAAGAGTATATAAAAAGAAGTGCTTTGAAAGTGACCCTATACCAAGAATTGAGGGAAAAGAATCCAATGAGTGGATGGCTTTAGACTTAGGTTGTATTTTCGATATGTACTAATAATATTAAACATTATTTTTTTAGTCTTCTGTTAACAATATTTCTTGTTTTTATCATTTCAGGAAACATAGCACTTCATATTTTCTCAGACTCAACTCGTAAAGTTTATGATTTGGAAACACTTTGGTCAGTGGGTCCAGAATTTGATGACCTGACAAATAAGAAGAGCACTAGTACTGATATCTTTGAAAACTATAGTGCATTATTAAGGGACCTGAAACCATTAGAATAAAATAATTAATGTAATAAAGGATGTAAATAAATTAGATTTGACTTTATTATTCATTAGTATGTATACATAGATTAATGGTATAATTAAAAAACAATTAAAAGTCTCATATAAAATGTTTACTTTTGCTTAAAATTGTAATAAAGATACATAAAGTATTGATTGTATATTTCAATCACAAACTAAATAATGTAATATTAAATTAATTATTGTTCCATTAAAATAAAATATATTGTCATCATCATAAATTATGACTTAAACGGAATTAGTGATGTCTAATTAACATAGAACAAGACTAATTGTATAATTTCAATAATTGAATACATAAAACAACAATTTGGCATAAAATTTATAACTAGCTCGAGAGTTTCTAAATGCATTTTTACAATGTAAAATTATATAAAATTACAGCTGTTGACTAAGTAAAACATCCATACCACAATCACAAGATTCATATATCAGTCAAAATGCAGTAGCACATTCTAACAATCTAAAACACTAAATAGCATAGTTTAGGAAGCAACCTATTTTTTACATTAGTGCTTCTAATAATATGTTAATCAAATAATAAAATGGAAGCCAATTTAAGTTAAATACAATCATTATAATAAAATGAGTAAGTAGCAATTCAGTAATTAAATATTACTTGTAAATTAAAAACAATTATTGGACCACATACAAGTCTTTCATTATTAGTGAATACAAAGATCAGTGTTAAAATTTGCAAATCTACAAAATAAACATAGTAACATTAATTATTACATAAAACATTGATTTTAAAATAATACTAGCTCAATCCACTTTCTGATTTTCAAAGTTGAGCTTTGACATGAAACCTTACACAACAAATTTTGCATCCAATTCTTCTCTCATTTGTGACAGGAATTATTTTTTGAAATATAGGTACATCTTACTTATTTTATTCGGAACTAGTATTGCACCAATTGTGAAATCAAAAATTTTTGTTTGAATATTTACCAGTATAAAATGAGCAGAAGAGTCATCATTTAGTGAAATGAAAAGTTACACATTATAAAAATTGACAATCTTACACTGTTATTCTCAAATCTCAATCAAAGCTGATGGGGTGGTAATTTAGAATGGAATGTATTGTAAATTAGTCTTTCGTACATTTTTTCAATTTTGATCTTCATAATAAACCAAATATTGTGGGTTTCATCATCATCACCAAGTTATTTATGAAACATTGACTGTGAATTAAAACACATTTATGATGTTCCTCTTATCATAGATGTTCAATTCATACGTTCAAATCAGTTTTTGCAATAAAAACCAAGACTTGGTGCAACATTCCTAAATACAATACATCCTTATAAAGTACACAAATATTATCAAGTAATTTGTGATTTCAATTGAATCCAAATTTGGCTCATGACTATTAAGTTATGACAATATGGCCACACTTCGTCTCACCCCAGCACCTGAATTTACATTATCCAAGCTTGACCACTTCTTAATGCCATTCTTTACTACTTCCGCAGCAATTTTATCTTCCATGACCCTAGACATTGCCTCCAACTTTTGTGCCCTTTCTTTGCTCAAAGGTTCACTGGGGAAAGCCAGATCATTAGCTTCCGCAAGTGTGCGAAGATCGAAATAATACTTAGCATACACACTAGATGGTACATTAATATTGAATTGTAACATTTCTAAAAACTGCCTTTCCAGTTCATTCATGTCTTCAACAGTGATATCTTTTAAAATTTGACAGTAGTCAACATTCCAAACTGCTTGATCGTCCCACACCTTGCTTGCAAGCAGTATAGCACCCAAAACTATCCTCTTCCAGTTTGAGGGTGCAATATCCAGCTCAGCACAAATAAGAAGTCTCTCTAAATACACCAAAGTGATAATAGCACATTCTGCAGTCAACTGAGCAGCATTGAATAAAGTTCTTACAAATTTATAAATCTGCTTATGTTCAGGGTTATATTTATCATAGTCATCACTGACCCCTTCTTTACTGAGAGGATGAAGTTTCTCGTCAAATATGTCTAACCTGCGCTCGGAGGTTCTATGTTTAATGTGATAATAAATTGCCAATGCAACACATTTTACAGTATTTTTCAAGTTTGGCTGAGACACAGTACTATCATCTAAATATATAGTAGAACAGGAACTGCTTTTCTTGAGCTTGTTATCAGCAATTTGGTGTTGACTACGCTTTCTAGTCATACCGTTTTCTATTGATGCTTTAGAGCGCTCCATGAATATAGTCCCGGCTATGGGATCTTGAGATGGATCAATATCTCCATCATCAGGTTCCCTTTCGCTGATGTGTTGGATATTGTTAGAGCTAACCTCTCCCTCCGGGAGGTAGTCCTCTAGTTTGACAATATCCTTCCTGATCGGCGATGGACTTCGATAACAACAGCAACTGTTTTGGTTACCCATTTTGGAATGATAAACAAGGACCACTAAAGACAACTTATTACCATTCTACACGTACTATAACACCTTTAGACACACTTAAATAGTATGCCGATCCACAAGAATGACGAAGGCCCATAATATCTGAAACAATAGCAAACTGCATAAATAATCTATAACATTAACCAATATTAACTTAGATGTAATGTTCGTTTGCTTAACTAGGTTCCGTACCTTAACATTATAAGATCTTCATATTGCATTAACACATATTTTAAGAAAATGTAAAAGAATTCTAGATTTTAAAGCGGAATCACTCATTCATCGCTTTTTGACTTTTTGACGTAATTCTAATGTCACTTTTTGAGAACCTGAAGAACAGATTATACAATCAAGGTTAAAATAACGGTAAATGACTAACGGGGTTATGTAGCAATATTTTAACGTTAATGTTAGGCCGCTGGAATCCATCATGATTAAGATTTAAACTTATTTAACTTTTTAATCATTTTAGTTTTTTAGAGTTTTAAACGTTATGTAGATTAAAAAATTCTAAATAGTGTATGTCATTCAAATTCACCATTATCTAGACAAAGTCATAATATTCTTGGTAGATTTATACCACCTCTGGGCCCCCCGATTGCGGTAAAAATTTTCAGCTGCAATTGCAAAACGATTGGACGACGAATGAAAGTCAGCTGTTTTGACAAATCTGAGCCCCGATTACGGTAACTTTTATAACGTCTACAATCCAGACGCGTTTCTGTTTCTGCGATACGATTGGTCAAAACAGCTGACGTACGCTGTTGAACGACCAATCGTATCGCAGAATCGAGAAGCGTGTCTGGATTGTTGACGTTATAAATTACCGTAATCGGGGCTCTGAGCCCCGATTACGGTAATTTATTTACTAACGCTTCTCGATTCTGCGATACGATTGGTCGTTCAACAGCGTACGTCAGCTGTTTTGACCAATAGTTAGTCAGCTGTTTTGACCAATCGTATCGATGAAGCGTATAATGTACCGTAATTGGGGCTCTGTATCGACTGTATCGCGGTGTACAACTTTGTAGCGATGGGCGATTATTACTAAATTAACTGAATTATTTGAATGGTATCTATAAATCGAATGTATTCGTCAAGCAATCGCAGTCAATAATTAATAATTGTTACTTTTTTCATTATTGGATATCGGGGATTTGATTTGATAGTGACTAGTGTTACTGTTAAGTATAATGTAGGTACTTTTGTTAGTTGTCAATTAAATATTTTTTCTTTCTTTTTCTTCCTTTCTAAATTGTAAAGCAGAATAAATATTACTGAATTGTAAAGTACTTTGTAAAATTTGCAAGATATTATTATGTCGTTGCTAGCGCTACCGCGCGTCCAGCACATGTGACTTTGTAGATAGGTAAATAGATTATCATTCGATTGTCGATTATTATTCTATTTTTTTTACGAATTACTAAATTGACTGTTGAAAGTTTGATTGGTCGATTATCGATTTATTCGATTTTTTTTCGAACAATCGCTCATCGCTATCGCGGTGTCTTTTTGACAGCTAGTTCAAACGAAACTGTAAACGGAACGTAACTGCGCCTTTGAGTAAAAGTTGACTTAGCTGACAGAACAGAAAGCTACTTTGTCTTAGACGCAAATCGTCATCTCATCTCATCGCAATCAAACGTTTCACGAATATTTGCAGTGTTTTAATAATTTTAGTTTAAAAAATTATGGTGTTCGAACTTTGATGGAAAGTGCATAAATCTGTTGTTTTGTCTTTGTTAGCGCGTGAACTTACCGTGATGACGAATTGCACATCAGCTGGAATGAAAATGGAGTGCGAATCCATTGGAGCCTCGAATGAATTTGAGACATTACAAATTAGAGCAATCGGGGCGCAGGTAGAGACACTTTTAATTTAAATCACAATGCTTATTTTACTTCTAAACCCATACCCCCTTATTATAAATAGCTACACAGATGAACTCTGGATTATAATGTCATTTCCTTAATAAATGACAACTTCAGCCAGAGTTCAACTAGGGTGTAACTTTTATTAATAAGGCCCTTTGTTATTATTTCAAATCTAACTTGTTTGTAACAAAATTACAATAATCTAGAGCTACTTTCAGCTTCGTTGCAATGAATTAGTTCAAGTAGTTGATAAGGATAAAGAAATGAGATTTTTGGTGTTAAAAAGGTAATACGATGGAAAATAACACAAAGTAATAACAACCACCTATAATAATTATGGGAATTATTAGAAGAATTTTATGAAATATTAAAAAAAAATAATTAAAATACCGATTTCTTCTCAAAAAGTAACATTTAATTACACTTATTTAATTTTTCTGGGCACTTAATGTATTTTATTAGCATCATTTGTTATTTACCAAGATTATTGCTTTTATTTTATCAGGAAATACCTCTTATTTCGAACGATACAACGTTTTCTTTACGATAAGTACCTAATTACAAGAAAAAATAAAAAATTAACAAAGAATCTCAGATATATTTTGTAATTTTTCCCTTCGATAAAAATGGGTTACTTTCACCCATTTTCATAGACACACTGTATTCTTTCTGCCTTTAAATAACATGAATTTTTAATAACGTGGCCTTTTTAAAATACCATGATTTTACGTCACGCTCGCAAATTATGATTTCCAATAATTTGTTTCAAATACTTTCATTGTTTAGCGACTAATCTATAACTACAAAATGCTTGAAAAGTGTTAATAACGGAGACGTTATGGAGCTGTATAACGTATAACGCTTTGGGTTTTATTTCGTAGTTAGTAAACTATCAAGTTGGCAACATTAATAATAAAAATGGCCGCCCGTTGCTAAAATTGAGCACGCTTGTTGTTCGAATAAATTTTTATCAATTCTGTAAAGTTCCATCAGTTAACACGGTAAATTATTTAAAAACGGCATATTTATTTTGGTTCAGACCATTGTTAGCGCCAAGAAGTATATTAATATCGTATTTATTCCTATTCTTTTAGGTGAAAATGCGTCGTAAAAGTGAGCGTACCGCAAGTAAGAAGACGAAATCTCCTGAAAAGAAAATAGAGAAGGTAAAGCGGACTCGAACTCGTCGCCGAAAACAGTCTACTTCTTCTGACAACGAATCTGCTGATGAAACAACTCCGGTTCAAGTAGTGGAAACTGTCACTGAAGTAGAAAAAAAGCCGCCAGGAACGCCCGCCAAAGAAGACAGTCCCGGGGAAGCTCATGACCAGGTATGGCAAGTGAAGGCTGCTGAGGGTGGTGATGTCGGGGAGATACAAAAGTTGAAAATCTGCTTGACTCGCCCACCCTCCACGCCAGAGAGGGTCGATCGGTCCCCTCGTAGTAAAAGGAAGCATTCCCGCGCTACGAGTTCTAGTGATACTCCTAGTAATGAAGGCGTCGAAGAGAGGAAGAAGAGTAAACATCGATCTAAAAGATCTACGCGCGAATCAAAGGACGATTCTGAGAAAAACCATGACAGTCAAGAAGAAGCTGATGTTGATGCGGATTCCCAAAATGTCAAAGATAAATCTGACTGTGAAATATCTCAAAGTTCTGACAAAAAGTCTGTTACAACCTCAGATGATACTCCTATGTCGACTACTAATGAAGAATCCAAAGTTAGTGGTAATGTCGAAGAATCATCTGACAAACAGGAGTCTCAAAATAAAATGGAAGTAGAAGTTGAGGTCAGTAAGCCATCTGATGCTGATACAACTGTTGCTTCTCCTAAGGTTGAAACCACGGTTGAAACTACAGTTGTGTCATCAGATACAGTAGAAATGCACAAGTCAGAAGAGCGAGAAAATGAAGAATCAAATAAAGATTTATCCGAGGATAAGTCCGAGGTTCTAGAACTGCATGCTGAAGACAGGTGTGAATCCTCAGACACTGAATTAAATAAATCTCAGACAAAGGATACGTCGGAAGCAGTGGTACCAGAAGAAAAGGACCAGGCAAAGGAAGCCAGCAAGGATGAGGTAAGTAATACTGAAGATAAAACTGACAAGTCTAAGAAAACAGTGTGTGATTCCAATGAAAATAAATCATCTGATGAAACTCATGTTGTAGAGAGTTCTGAAAAAACTGTAGAGGTAAGAAAATTATCAGTTGAAACCAGTAAAGAAGAGAAGAGAGAAGTGGAAGAGTCACATGACACAAGCAAAGATATGGAGACCTCCATATCCAATATTTCCAGTCAAGAGGAGAATGTCCAGAATGGTTCAACGACATCAATAGTCATCAGCAGGAAAAGGAGATGGGGGTCTCGACCTACCAAAATCACTAAGCAAAAGTCTATTACTATTTCTACTGACATTCTAAAAGAAATAATACCTGATGTGAAGCCTGTTGAATTTGAAGAAGTGATAAAAGAGAAAAAACCTGAAAGGGAAGTTACAGAGAAAATAGAGAGACCTATATTGCCAAAAATTATTATAGATAACACAGAACATGTTGAGCAGCACAAAAAAGTGAATGAAGATAAAGATAGAGATGTAATGAAACCTAGAGAATCACATCTTTCCTCGAATAGGAAAATATCTATAGTTAAGGAGAGTGATAGTATTATTGCAAGACCACCGAGCCCACCTAGATATAAGCAGTCGTGCATTTTGTTCATAACAAATCTAGTGAGGCCATTCACATTGCCTCAGTTAAAAAATTTGCTGCAAAGGACAGGAAGAATTGTTGAGGACGGTTTCTGGATAGATAGAATAAAGTCTAAATGCTACGTGAAATATGAAACTGAAGAGTAAGTATAATTAACTTTCCATTTATTGTTTTGATATAGTCATCAATTAATTCAATTTATTTATGAAAATGTTTATTTTCAGTCAAGCTGTTGAAACAAGGCATGCTTTGCATGGAGTCACATGGCCTGTGTCAAATCCAAAGACCTTACAAGTGGATTTCTCCACCGATGAAGCTTTTGACAAGGCCAAGCTGAACGAAGATGCAGATAATGCTCAGGTTTCAACCATTCCTGGCACAGTCGAAGACTGGCTTCGTGAACAAGACATGAAGAGAGAAAGAGGGGAAATGGTTAGTGTGTGGTTTTAAAAAATAATCAATCCATTCTAATATTATAAATGCGAATTGTAACATATGCTGTCTGCTACCTTTTCATGTTTATAATAACACTCAACTGATTTAGATTTGGCATATAGATAGTTTAACTCAGGGTAAAATATTAGGTATTGGTTTTTGAAAGAATGCGTGCGCGATTATTTTTTCTGTGGTTTCTTTTTCTAATAAGAATTTTTTTCTAATATTTTAATGTTTTCAGGAGAAACCATATGAAAGGAAAGCAGTGATGCGCGAGTGGGATGTTGGTAAAAACGAAAAGGACAA